GTGACGGGGATTCGAACCCGCGACCCTCAGATTGCGAATCGACTGTCCTAACCACCTGGTCATGCCGGACCCCTTACTGGAGCCTTCATCAGGCAACAATGTACTGAGCAATAAAAACTCGTTAATCTGTGGAACACTTCTTTAAAACACATGTCCAAGCAACAATCGTAACAATAACTGACATCTGGTATTAAAGTTATGAACGATATGGAACTTATGACGAATATAGAATTAACTATAAAAGATTTAAGCTTTTACATGAATTGAATAATTAAAAACCCGGTCTTTATAACTGTATTACAGAATAAATATCTTATATACACTGTTGCTTAACAATATTTAACATACAACTATTACTTAGATATGATAAAAATAAGGAGAATATTATTATAGGTGTTTTTTAGAAAAATAAATTATGCATACTTCAAATAAGGATACTTCAAAGAAAATAGTCCGTGTATATTTCTACATATCAATTTACCTACGTTGTGAGTCTTAGAATACAGATATAAATTGTTATATTAATACCTGAGTTGTGGGTTTTGTGTATTGAAATAACGTAATAGAAATTTGAAAGTCTGTGTAATATTTTACTCAAAATTCCTGAATACAGAAGAACAGTCTTCGAAATCATTATTAAGAACACATAAAATAACGCGTTTTTTGTTAACGAAGAGAATAACGCGTTTTTTTTTTTTTGTTAACGAAGAGAATAACGCGTTTTTTTTTTTTTTGGTTTAACGAACAGTATCTAATACAGAGAAATTACAGATTTTGTCCTAAATTTAGGCTTTCAAAATTCCTCGTGTGTTTTATGTAGAATCTATTATATTGAGACGTTGATAATCTTATTTTATCATCAAAACCAAATCAATTGAACGATAAAATGTTTTTATTTTCATTTTATTCTCAGACTTTTTCGACTAATACGTCCATTTGTTTTGTAATCAGATATAAACTACGGTTAAATGTTTCATTTATTATAAACATTATCGCTTTCTTCACGCTGTTAATTAAGGGTTTACCCATCTACTGATGGAAGGAGTGGCTCTTTGTACTCAACGAAACTTGTCACCATCTCACCCCCTGTTCCGACTCCTGGCTCCCCACTTTAGGTTTCTGATGGCCATTAACGCGTAAGTCTCTTTTTGTTTTTGTTTTTGCGAAAATCAGGATTGAAATCAAGATGTCTTCCTACACCAAAATATTACCGTTTTTTATTACATCCCTTACATCTTTTTTGAAGATAGTACCATTTCTCTTGTTTGTAAGTATCTTTCTAAACATGGTAGCGTAATTTGGAAGTAATTGGTAATTAAGTAAGAAACCCCAGTTATTTTCTTTCTGGATTTAAATGCCGCTTACAGAGAGCTTCGGATTGAAAACTTTGATAAAACCAATTCATCTAAACACACCGAGAAATGTTGTATTTTATTTCTTATATTGAAAATTTTTGCTTTGTCATTTCTGCCCATAGTGGCTCAACGAAACGTATATGGGCTAATAATGCTAAAAAAACAGGGTTTTGATACCCGTGGTGGACATAGCAGATAGCCCATTGTATAACTTTGTCTTTAACCACAAACAAATTGTCGTCTGAGTATTCATTCATACGGTAAGATCGTTCCGAATTATGGCGAGACAGAAAATCAAAAAATTTGTGAACGATTAATGATACGGAAATGTAGAAAGTAGAAAAAAAAATTCTAACTGGAAATTTTTAAAGCTTTATTATTATTATCATTATTTATTTATTCATTGCCGATAGTTGCTTAAGTACGTTGTTTCTGTTAGGCTTAGCTAATACAAATATCAATATTTAAAATTGCCATTCATTATGCCTAAAGTAACTCGTTAACTTTTTTTTTCTTGTATGTATGCATTTCTATAGACGTGGGCTGAAATTCTTGGTGGCTCCAGGAGGTTGGGTGGACAAAACTATGACCATTGGGTGTAAGGGCATGTTTGAGATCATGAGAAGAGGGTAAGTCACTTTAATAGTTTGTAATTAAGCATAAAGCTACACAATGTGCTATCTGTGCTCTGCGCATCACGGGTATCGAAACCCGATTTCTAGCGTTGTAAGTCCGCAGACATACCGCTGTGCCATTGGGGGGCTAACAGTTTGGAGAGTTAATCGCAAAGGTTGTTATTACTTATTCAATGCGCGAGATATTCAGAATTTGTTTAAAAGTCTAAGAAACAATGGAGGCTGGATAAATACAAAAGCAACAATAGACCATTGGATTAAAAAAAGTCATTTCTGTCTAAAACAAAAGTGCCACGTATTTTTTTCAGTTCAACTTGAATACATCTCTATTACATGGATAGACCCCCTCATATAAGGTATCTCAGGGGAATCGCAGAAAGAACACTTACAAAACTTTACAAATGGATCACAATGTTGGATTACTCCTATTTCGTGGAACATTGTATCACGCCCCCCCCAACTCCCCCCAGTGGCACAGCTGTATGTCTGTGTGGACTTACAACGCTAGAATCCGGGTTTCGATACCCGTGGTAGGCAGAGCAGAGATAGCCCATTGTGTAGCTTTGTGCTCAATTACAAACAAACAAACATTGTATCACTGTTTATTTTATTTTCGTGAACTAGTGTCCTTAATACTAAGAAAAATATCTTGTTTATTTTTGTTTATTTGTCGTGTTAATTTCTTCGGTTCTAAAGCATTTTTTTAAACAATAATTAATTTAATTGATTACCAAACGCCTTTGCGCATAAGTTAAAAAAGAGTTCAGTTTAGCTAAAAGCCTTTCGGTATTCCTTATTCTTAAATGCTATTAGGATAGCATCCAAATTTAACCATTCGAGGAATACGAAAAAACAAAAAAGGAACACATTTACACAACGAATATTACATTCATCATTTATATTCCTGTATAACTTTTGTTTTATTTGGCTTAACGCAAGAAAAAAATAATAATGATTTTAATATTTCAGTTTATTTACGCTCTTAGTGCCCTAGAGGCAGTTTCATATCTGGAAGTCTTCTCAAGTCTAATTTCTTGGGCGGACTAATACACTTTCAAAGTTGTACAATTGTTGACTTCAATAGATTCGACAATAAGTTTGAATCAGGAACAAACACTTCTGGTTATTCTCAAGTCTTGTGTCAGTTTTTTATCACACTAATGCATTTGCGAATTTTTTTCCATTCTATATATTACCAAGACCTTGAAGTGATATGAGGCGTGTAATAAGACACTGGCCTGTTAATCTCTCTTAATTGCGAACCTCAGCCACCTAGCAACGGTTTCCATAACGTCGCGTTCAAAATAAACGCGAACTATATTAAAACCAAGAATGCTGATGGCTGCGACACTGATTTGCTGTTTTATTCTAACCTTGCAATAATATTTCTAGTTTTCGCTTTTAGCTACTGAAATTAATTCCAGTACAGTTGCTTGAAGTTAATATTTTCTCCTTGTGCTAGAGAAATTAACACAGTCAACTCTGAAAAGTGTCTGATTGGCTTGATTTTTTTCGAATAATAGATGTAAGAGAATATATTCTTGCAGCTCTGCATACACAATATATTACCTTAAAATATAATATCGAGGCTCAAATAATGACGTGACTCGTAAACAGGCACTGAACTCACATTAAAATGGAAGATTTGGAAAAACAACAACATATTCTAAGCTATTTTCCAAGCATTCTACAGATAACAAGTACGATTTATTTTATATACCAAACAAGAAACCGTCAAAAAAAAAAGATATGTTTTTGTCAATTATGATTTTTTTATGATATGGTTAGGTCAAAAATAAACCTCCACGCTGTAATGACTTCGTTACAGGACCCCATCTGTTATTTTTGGCAGGATTTACAGCCTTCGGTTGTTTTGAGAGATAGGAAAGGTTTCTGTAATGATGATTTAGTCTATCAAAAACATGACGTAAATTACCCTTATCTCAAATATGTTACTTAACTAAGAAACAGGCTCTTGATTGGTCATTATTACACAGATTATAAACAGAATGATTGCTAAAATTCTTCCAAGTTATCAATAAAACATCGTTGTATTGGAGAAAACGTACCTTTACATTTAGATTTTGTTGATCGTTAATAACAAGTGCACAATAAATTATTCTTGTAACGACCGTGAAGGCTATCTATTCCTCTCTGACTTTAGACATTACAAAATGGCCTAATTCTTCTCTCACTGTGGGAAAGCTTTAAAATAATACAAAATGGCCTAATTGTTCTCTCACTTTGGGAAAGCTTGAAATATTACAAAATGGCCTAATTCTTCTCTCACTTTAGGAAAGCTTTAAATATTACAAAATGGCCTAATTCTTCTCTCACTGTAGGAAAGCTTTAAATATTACAAAATGGCCTAATTCTTCTCTTAGGAATTAGGCTATTTTGTAATATTTAAAGCTTTCCTAACAGTGAGAGAAGAATTAGGCCATTTTGTATTATTTTAAAGCTTTCCTAAAGTGAGAGAAGATATAGGCCATTTTGTAAAATTAAAGCTTTCCTAAAGTGTTATTTTTGATCCCGTATTTAGATTTTCATCCGTATATATTTTCTGAAAGTTTTGTTTTAAACAACCTTCAATAGTTTTGTATGTTTGTTTCAAGGATCTTGCAGCAAGATATGTTTAAATATTCTTCACTTGGTTTCGTTTGTTTTTCATTCCAAGACCTTAAGGAAAAGTAACTCGCAGACCATTATCATTTTCTTTCGTTTTAAACTTTATTCATTCATTTTTTTTCTGTTTATGGAATTTCGATTGGTGTTAGTATTGTTACGTCTCTGTTCGTTTGTTAATTTCCGGAATAAATTCTTTCCGAGAAACTGCAGCGAT